ATGATGTCCAATAGAATTACAGAGTATTAGCTCAGGGGTGAATTGGCCTTGGGATATAGAATTGGGAGATACCTTCTTGCCCTCACACTCCTATCCTCTAAATTTTCATTTAACTAGAATGGGTTAGCCCTGGCTGGTGTAGCTCAGTGGATTGAGCGTGGGCCTGCGAACCAAAAGATCGTGGTTCAATTCCCCGTCAGGGCACATGCCTGGGTTGCAGGCCAGTTCCCAGCAGGGGATGTACCAGAAGCAACCATGCATTGATATTTCTCTCCTTCTCTCCTTCCCTTCCCTTCTAAAGATAAATTAAAAAAAAAGAATGGGTTAATATAATTTTGTGACAAAGTGATACTATAATACAGAAACAAATAATCCTAAATAATATAGTGCAGTGAAATGTGTCACATAGTACAAATATTGGTGTAGGACTTGTAATGTTGTGTAATGATGTAATCCAGAAACAGGATACCCATATGACAATTTACTGATATGAACCGGGAAATGATGGGTCAGTGCACTAGTTAACAGCATGGGGTTGTACTGTGGTAATAAAATAATCATGTAGTCAGTGACACTGCAACAAGGCACACAATCCAGCAAGCAACCAAATGACAACCTGACAGTGTAACCATGTTAACTCAGTCACGATGTACTGACATAATGATGCCACGAGATAATGGCAGAGTGTGGTGATGATGTCACACAATAATAAGAGGCCAACCAGGAAGCAGGTTGAGCCACAACATAAACAGATAAATTCCTCAACACAGATTTTACTAAAAGACCAATGTTATGGTGAAGAAAAATTCATGTAATAAGTAGCCATTTATCTAAGAAGAAAAGAGATAGTGAATACATATACTTATTTGCTTATACTTTACAAAATGGAATGATGAACCAAAGAGTTTTTTTAATGTTCATCTATTAAATAAGGATGAAACAAAAGGGAGAGGACAATGTAAAAGGTAGACATCACTGATCATATCTTATTCTGTAGATTTGACTTTAGAACCATGTACATATTTTACACAATAACACAACAAAATTAAGTAAATAAATAAGCAATCCCCCAAAAGGCAGAAGCCAAATGAAATAAATGAACATAACTATTCATTGAGTTTGAATCATAACCACATAAAGAAACTATTTCAAATAATTTAAAACCTAGTAATTGACTATATGTACATTACTTAGTGGGCCATACACTGGCCCACTAAGTAAAGCAAATAAGTAATGATATTCATGTTCGTGGAGATTTTGGTGTGAGAAAAACAAGCAAAACCAAAAGGAAGATCAGTGATGATAAGTAAAACCCCTATAGTCCTGGATTTCAACTGGATGCATTAGTAATATAATAACTCAATGCATTTTACCTTTTTGAAAACTGTATTTCCTAGCTCTACCCACTGAAAAAGACAAGAAGTTAATCAACTCCATAACAATAAGCACCTCTAGTCCCCAGATTGTGGTCTTTAAATACCATGTTGCACTAAAAAAAAAAACAGGACTCTTTGGGGAAATGGAAGATGATTCTGGAAATCTCTCCATAGCAGAAAGCAAGAAAGTTATTAAAAGCTACTATAAGGGTCAGGTCATGAGGACTTAGGTTCCATTTAGAGGCTGCCACTGACCAACAATGACATAATTGAGCATCAGTGAGAATAATAAGTACACTTTATTTAAACTCATCAAATATACTTAAATCCATGAATGTATAATTAAAAGAAACACCTTGCTGATCTCCTTTGTAAGACACTAGGAAACCAATTTATTATTTGAGAAATTAATAAATGAGGAGAAAGAATCAAGCATTTCTTCTGCTTTTCTTAGAAGAACTCCTATCTTAGGAAAATCTAACAGTGGGTAAGGGGAAGCTTCTCTTTATAAATGTCTTACAGCTAATAAATGAAGAAGAGATGGATAGATTTAGAATATTACCATTTTGTAATCCCAATAGAATGATAGATCTAGGAAATGATCATCAATGGCTGCTAATTTCACAAAAAAGAGAAACAACAGAACATTATATGTCTCTTGATGAAAATATAAAACACATACACAAAACAAAAATAAAACTCTATTAGGTAATATTTCCAAAAAATCAAACCTGAATCTGACCAAGCCTCTCCATGTAACTAGCATTTTGCAGATAATACTATGGACAGAGGAACTACAAGGATGAAATCTGATTTGGCTCTTGCTTGTATATTTCCCCCAGACTATGAGACTCCACAGGGCACATAATCTGACTCCTTCAATAAAGAAATTGCAAAGGGGGAATGGATGGACAAAAGAGACATATCAACTGATTGCAATACATTTGAATCTTGCAAGTAGTTAAAGAGGGGAGGAGGAGCAGGAAGAGGAGGAAGAGCAGGAGGAGAAGTTATGAAGTACTCAGTGACATATAAACACTGCACTAATTGCACATTATGAAATTTTTAAATGAGCTAGTGTTAGTGTGTTCATTTAAAAAGTAAACAAAAAGGACTTATTTAACTGAATTATTTAACTGAAATATTTACAGATTGAATAATATAATGTCTGGGATTTTCTATAAAATAATACTGGGCAAAGTGGTAGGAACAAAACTAGCTACAAATTGCTAATTCTTGGAGCTGGGTTCATTATACCATTCTCTCTATTTTTATATGTGTTTGACATTTTCAATAATGAAAAGTGTTAAACCTTTGTTATCTTAAATCAAGCTACTTAAATTTGGCAGCAGCCATCTCCCCTCTCTTGACTTTCAGAAAGCTGACAATTGTCTTCAATTGGTCAGCTATCTAACCTGAAGATTCTGAAGAAACTGACCAGCCTAAAAGAAAACACCTTCAGGTTCTGGCAATTGGGGTCTCCCACAAAACTCCAGGTCTCCACCTTGTTACTCTTCAGTGATGCCAACCAATTAGCACAGCCCAAACATGCACACAGAGTTTCCAGGCAGTCTTTTACTGCTTTACTTGTGTGTATTGATGGACAGGAAAGGATATTAATGATTTAAAATAAGCCTCTCACATGAAAGAAAGAGACAAGAATTAACTACCGCAAGAGAAGGAACTTGAAAAAAAATCAAAGACAATTCAGGAAAAAGAATAAAACTAAAAACAAAACAAAATAAAAACTGTCTATAATTAATAACCTCAAAGCGGTAAATGAAGAAGGGCAAAGGTGGAAAAAATTGGGACAACTGTAATAGCATAAAGAATAAAAGGGAAAAATGATAAAAGAAATATACCCATGAAATATACCCATGAATGTATTTTAAGGTACATTCAGAGAATAATAATTCTTAAATTCCTGGAGATTAATATATATGTATGTGTGCATATATGTGTATGTGCGTATATGTAATATCAGAAGTAAAAATATTCAATAGGTTTTCAAGGTAAAGTTGAGGAAATATCTAAAAAGTACTATGAATGGCCACAGAAATGAAACTAGAAAAGAAAAAATAACAAACTAAAGGATAAATACAGAAAGAATAAATGTCTGACTAATAGAAGTCTCAGAAAAAGAAGACAAAAAATAGGGATGAGAATATTATCAATAAATAATTTTATAAATTTCTCCAAAATGAAGGACAGCACTTTCTAGATTGAAAGAGCCTACCAAGGACTCAGCACAGTGGATTTACAAATTCCCACACCAAAGCACAGAATCATAAAATTATACAACACCAAGGGATAAAGAAAAGATTTCAGAGTGAGAGAAAGAGGGGAAATACAGTTTAAAGTATCATAGTTTAGCCCTAGCTGGTGTAGCTCAGTAGATTGAGCACAGGCCTGCAAACCAAAGGGTTGCTGGTTGATTCCCAGTCAGGGCACATGCCTGGGTTGTGGGCCAGGTCCTCAGTAGAGGGTGTGCAGGAGGCAACCACACATGGAGTTTCTCTTTCTCTCTTTCTCCTTCCCTTCCCCTCTCTCTAAAAATAAATAAATAAAACCTTTTTTAAATGGTTTAGAAATAAGAATGATAGCAAACTTCTCAACGGCAACAATAGAGATTATTAGATAATGGAACAAGACAAATAAGGATAATGTGAGGTGTAAAGTTTGATGCGGCAGCACAAAGAGAAGGTAGAGAAACTGAAGCAGTTCCTGCCCCAGATTTGGCACTGAAAGAGCTTAAATTAATCAGACCTGGTGATCTGAACCATATTGAAATGTTAAAAATTACACTTTCATATACAAAATATTGGTTTTACTCCAAATTGTGACATATGTATATTGAGAGAATTAAAAAAGATAAAGTAGCCCTGGCTGATGTGGCTCAGTGGATTGAGCTCCAGCCTGCAAACCAAAGGGTCACTGGTTTGATTCCCAGTCAGGGCACATGCCTGGGTTGCAGGCCAGGTCCCCAGCAGGGGATGGGCGAGAGGCAACCACACATTGATGTTTCTCTCCCTCTCTTCTCCTCTGCCCAAAAATAAATGAATGAATAAATAAATAAATAAATAAAATCTTTTTTAAAAGATAAAGTAAATATAGATGTTGGTATAAGAGAGCCCCATCTTCATCTTCCAAAATAAATAGTCAACAGATAACTCTAAAAAGTGAAAAGTCAACTATAGCAATATAAATGGAATATTTCAATAGAAATAGGTATGTAAGCATCAAAAGACACAGATAAACAATTTTAAAATACAAGCCTACGAGCAGCTAATAGGGGATAACTATAAACTTTAATTAGTTGGCTGTTTGAGCTATGTAACTAACTTTTTAATGAAAAATTCAAAGATACCTAAAAATTGAGAAAACAGTATGCTGATCTCTTATAATCTAATCACTCAGAGGTAGCCATCATGAAGACTTTCCTACACTTGCTTCACATAAGCCTATTAATTCAATTGCTTAACTAAAGTATTTAGAAATACATACAACAAATTAATAATACAGCTCCCTCTGAGGCCCGTGACTGATGTAGGGATGGGAGGGAGTGGGGAAAGGAGAAATTTCCTTTTCTTTTAAATGGCTTTATTTGTTTTATTATTTTTTTAACCTCGTTTGAAACTAGCCCACACTCTACGGAGCTGTGAGGCCAGCTCCGATGTTGCTTTCCCTTTTTTTACTACCACCAAGATCGGTGCACAGATCCGATGGGAAAGGGAACCAGAGGGCTAAATGGCTTTATTTTTATCTTACAAATTCTTATGCTATGTACTGTCCTAAACACTTTACACTCATTTAACCCTCAACAATACAAGGTAGATATTAGTATCCTACCCATTGACAGAGAAGAGTTGGCTATCATTTGTTTTTCAATGAGCAGGGGTTCCTTTGTAAATAATAATTTTTAAAAGATTTTATTTATTTATTTAGAGAGAGGGGAAGGGAAGGAGAAGGAGAGGGAGAGAAACATCAATGTGGGGTTGCCTCTCATTTGGCCCACCCTGGGGACCTGGCTTGCAACTCAGGCATATGCCCTGACTGGGAATTGAACAAGCGACCCTTTGGTTTGCATCCTATGCTCAAGCCACTGAGCTACACCAGCCAGGACACTAAATAATAATTTTTTATAAAGATTTCACTTATTTTATTTTTTAGAGAGAGGAAGGGAGGGAGAAATAGAAGGAGGGAAGCATCAATATGTAGTTGCATCTCATATACCCCTCATGGGAGACCTGACCCACAACCCAGGCATGAGCCCTGACTGAGAATTGAACCAGCAGCCCCTTGATTCGCAGGCCGGCACTCAACCACTGAGCCGCACCAGCCAGGGTTAAATAATGATTTTTAAAAAAATAATGGGCCATAGAAATCTATTCCCCATCTCATATGACAACTATTTGATTATTTGAATTCTCTCTTCTCTAGTATAAAAAGTCCCTGTTCCTCCAATGATGCCTCAAACGTAGAATCATTATACATTGCTGTTATTAATAACTTTCTTTTACTCTCAAATGTATCCTGGTTTAGGTAACAAATTTCATAGTAACTCTACTCATAGAACTTGGAGTTTAGGTCCTTTACAATGGGGGTTGCCTTCCCTAGACATCCCTGTTTAAAAGGGTCTTCAGCTCTAAACCCAGCAAAATTTGGAACCTGGTGGGACAACTGACTCTTCTTATTCCCAACTTTTCACATCTACAAAGGAAGTTTGGGAGCCAGGGTGTATGTTGCCATACCCCTGACAGTGCCACGTAACTGATTCACAATGAATTGACTGTGAGATAAACTAGGTCTTTTTCAAGTGATTCATTCTTAAACCAGAACTTTTCTGCTCTTGTAACCTGCCTGCAGGACTCCACACCCACCTTCCTCCAAATGCCATTTGTTCATGTATGTTCATTGTTCCAGCCTGTCAAGATCATTTTGAACCTCAATTGTCATCCAGCCTATTAGTGATCCTGCTCCTCTTTGCATCATCTGGAAGTGTGATGAGCTGGACACCTACGTCTTCATCTGAGCTACTTATAGCAACATTGCACGACCAGAGCTGAGTCACAGGCTCAAAGACCCCCCGCTGGCAAGACATAAACCCTCTCATCACCACACCCCTCTGGGTACGGTGATTCACCAGTTACGAGCCCTCCAAGCAGGGCCATCATACAGCTCACATTTCCTCATTGTGTCCATGGCATAACCTGACTAAGTGCTTAATGCTCTATTGAAAGCAAAAACAGTCTCTTCACTAGTCTCCTATCCTTATTAACAAAAGAACCACAATATTTTCTATTTTGGTATGTGTTCCACCAAAGGCAGACATATTCTCCTTGCTAGGCATTGCCAGACCCCATATGTAATAATAATTTCTAGAATTTTTCCAGGAATCAACATCAGTTTTGACTCTCTTTACTTTCCAAATCCATTGTCTACTCCTTGCTGAATGTAGGTATCACTTGTTCATTTCCATGCCATAGCACTCCGCCCATCCTCCATGATTCCCCAAAGGTCACTGAAAGCAGATTCCTCCTCATCGCATGTGATCTGGACACCTATCTGGGCCTAGGCTTTTTTATCATATTTGCTTTAAAAAAGTTACTTGTTTAAATATAAATAAGTAAAAATAAAAATATACTTATTTTTATTTTTTATTTAAAAATAAATACATTTATTTATTTGTTTGTTTGTTTTTAGAGAGAGGCAGGGAGGGAGAAAGAGGAGAGAAACATCAATGTGTGGTTGCCTCTCAAGTACCCCCTACTGGAGACCTGGGATGCAACCCAAGCATGTGCCCTGACTGGGAATTGAACCCAAGACCCTTTGATTTGCAGGCTGGCACTCAATTTACTGAGTCACACCAGCCAGGGCTTCATCATATTTTCTTACTCTTTCTGATTTAAATCATTCTCCTCAACACTCTAAAAAGAAAAGAAAAGGTAGCAGGTCTTCTCTTTGTCTTTGGTTAATAACACAGCATGGCCTTCAATCCCAAAGATATTAAACACATTTTATTTACTTACTTACTAATTCATTCATCTATTCATTCATTCATTTATTCGAATGATCATTTAATCACACAAGACAAATTAAAATGCACATATTATGGATAAAGTTAAAGCTCTCATTGACTAGTCCTTCTAATTCTAGCCCATTCTTCACTGTTATTAGCTTTGTATACTTTCTTCTGTGCATTTCACACCAATATGCACATAAAAAAACACATGCTTTGGCTTTTTGTTCATCTATCCTGGCACATCCTGCAGAACATATTCCCCCATTAACATTTTCATGGCAGAACATCTCTAGGTTTTTAGGAACCAAACTTGATAGAACACATGGATCTCACAATAATGTTTTTCAGTTGTTTACTTAAGGAAAACATATATCATATTTGCATCCCCCAAACTCAATATGGCATTCTAAATGTAATGATGTACAGGAAAAAATCCAAGTCATAGTTCAAACAGAATTGGTAGGGTGTCAGATTCATGTGTAGATGTCTCACAGTGTGCCACCAAAGGGGCTGTGAGTCTGGATTGTGGCTGACACTCAGTGGCCTTATTATTGCTAACAAAGCAAGCTTTTGTGACCACCTTATTCCTTATTTGGTAACCAGAAAGCAATTCTTAAGCATTTTACATACTAACATAATAATTTGTTATTTATATAATATTGGCATTTTACTGGGATTTTGTTACATTTTAGGAAATCTGTGGAAGGATTTGAGTTGACACAATCTGTTACCACCCTTGCTATTTAGAATAATGGAAGACAGGCTTCCAGTTAGCATTTCCACACAGAACATTTAATTTGAAGGGACAGATTTTTGACATTAAGAGAGAAAATGCCTGTCAGATGAAAGGATCAAAATTGTGTCATGTACATATAATGCACTCTTACTTGGTCATAAAAAGGAATAAAATTCTGGTACATGCTACAACATGGATGAATTTTAAAAGCATTATGCTAAGCGAAAGAAGCCAGACAGAAAAAAACAAATATTGTATGGTGCCATGTATGAAATATAGGCAAATTCATAGGGATACAAAGTACATTATTGGTTACCAGGAGCTTATGGAACAAGGGAGTGGGAAGTTATTGCTTAAGCATATAGAGTACCTGTTTGGGGTGATGAGAAAATTTTAGAGGTGATAGCTGCATAACATTGTGAGCATAATTAATTCTACCAAGGTGTCCACTTTCATATGGTTTAAATGGCAAAATTTGTTACATATATTTTGCCACAATAAAAAGGAAAAGTTCTATGTATTAAAAAAACTTTGAGTACTGAGATTCTTATTTATATTGAGTCCTACAAAGATGAACATATATATATGAAAAAATTCAGGGAGAGTCTTGTTTTTACCTTAGTAAACTCCTTAATTTCTTTTGAAACAAGAAAGTAAGATGTCCATACATACACAAATGGCGAAGGTTTTCTTCTGTAATTTGCTTTTTCTTCTTCAATGTACCTTGGAGAGCCCCCGAGTGTCAGTACCCGGCACCACCCAACTCCGTGGTTGTTGCCGAGTCCTCTATAGCAGCGATTTTCAACCTTTTCCATCTCTCGTCACACAGAAGCTTATTAAAATCGGCAGCACACCAAAAAATACAATATATTTTTTGCCGATCTGACCAAAAAACATAGGTATAATTTTAATTCATTCACACTGGACAACTACTGCGTTGGCTGTTGTCATTTTTTTCTTTGACAAGCTGAGGGAGAAGAGGTCGGTGCGCCCGACTAAATATTGCGAGTTTCAGAAATCCTCACGGCACACCAGTGGAAAATCACTGCTGAATGGAAGTACCTGGGCTTTGTTGGGCCATTGCCCTGCCAGGCAGTTTTCATGGCCTTCACGCTTTTCAAGCTCTGACCTTTCAGATGCTTTTCACAGTGTGTTGCCAATCTGGTGTCCCTCTGCCTGGTCACTCTTCATTCCTCCATGGTCTGGGCAAGGTCTTGTCAATCTGGCTTCATTAGAGACCTTCCCAGGCAGGTCCTCCCCGGCCCCTTTTGGATATAGAGATACGTGCTCTGGGATGTTCCTTGCATTGCTGTTTTTAAAGTCAGGAAACATTCCAGGTGTCCATCACTAAGAGATTATTCAATGAAATTCTCCTTACAGTAGACTGCTGTGCAGCCACTAACAGTGTTGGTACATATTATAGAACTATATTTATTGACATGAAAAATTTCCCACAATTGCAAAGTGAAAAAAAATGTCCAAACATGTATTATGTAATGTAGTTTTTTTAAAAAGAGAAAATTTGTTATGTGCCTAAAAATAAACTCCAGAAAGATATACACATACACTCAAATGTGAACACTGGTAATCTGGGCGATGGGATGACAGGTGATGTTTATTTTGCACCTCTGAATTTTCCAGTTTTTCTTCAATTAACATTGGTAACCCATGTAATGAGGGGAAAGAGCTTTAAAAATTTTCAGTGTTGACATCCTTGAAATCCGGTCATTGCACTGAACTAACTTAGAGCACAAATGACATTCCTCGCGTGTCTCTCTCTCCCTGTGAGTTCTGTCCCCACTATATGGAAGAAGGAGGGGAGGGAAAAAGAAGGGGGCCCCTTTCATAGGCATAGTGCCAAGTCTCAGCGAGGAGGCTTTTGTCACCATCGTTGCATTTAATCCTCACAAAAGCTGAGTTGGGTAGATACTATTAGGCCCATTTTACAAATGAAAAACTGGGGCTCTGAAATGATAGGCAATCTTC